CCCGCCAGGTCCGCGGCCCCAGCCAGGTGCGTCCTGGGCTCTGTCACTGGCCTGGCCAACAACCCATTACTTTCCATGCTCTGCCCCCAAACAGGCAGAAAAAATTAAGCAGTTTTGACATCTTGGAGAAAAAGGAAGCTTCCAGTTCTGTCTGTATCCCATCTTGGCCTTAATCATGGCATTGTGCCTTAAGACTCTCAACCCCTATACAGAATAAGCTCTTAAAAAGTGAGGGAGGGCAGCCACTGGCAGTGACATGCAGGATCAATGGATAGTTTCAGAGGGACAGGCTTGTGTTGAATGTCCTTGTGTGCCAGGCTCTGTGCTAAGGATGTGAGATCAAATGCCCACTCCACCCTCAACAGGCCCATCTATTAAGGGAGAAATGCATCAGTGGGGCTCTTGACCCTGGCTGGAAGACGGGTGGAGATGGGGGTGCTCTGGCAAGTCTTCACACAAAAATTGAATTTTTTGGGTAAGAGGGCAGGACAGACAGGCATTTCAGGAATCACAAGGAGTTTAAGGTGATTGTAGATGTTGGCAAGAGCTGAGTAATTCAACAATTACTGCCAGTCTGTGCCAGGCACTCTTTTCAGTGTATGGGGTACATTGGTTAGCCATGCAGGCTCAGATCCCTGTCCTTGTGATGCTTACATTTTTGCAGAGTGGAACAAAGTAATAAGCATAGTGAATAAATGAGTTGAGAGATGGGATGTATAAAAAGATGTAGAGCAGGGTGAAGGAGATAAATAGTGGGGCTGGGAGTTCACAGTGTTAAATAATGTAGTCTGGGTAGGCCTCAGAGCAGGTGAGGTTTGAGCAAAAGCTTGTAGAAGGTGAGGGAGTTGGCTGAGTGCAAAGGCTGGGCAGGGAAGAGGGCCAGCTAGCTCACCTAGGCCCTGAGGCAGCACAGACCTGGTACAAATGAGGAGCAGCCCAGAGGCCAGTATGATTAAACAGAATGTAGTAGTAGATGGAGTCAGAGAGGTAGTGGGGCCAGAGTGAGAAGGGGCTTGTGAGCCATGGTGAGGACTTCGTCTTTTACTCTGAGTGAGGCAGAAGTAATGGGAGGGTTGTAAGTAGAGGAAGGACAGATCGACTTAAGATTTAGTAGTACCTCACTGAGTGCTGAACGTTATCTGTGGGGGGCAAGGATGGAAGTAGGGGGCGAGCGAGGAGGCGGCTTCTACAGTAGTCCTGGTGACTGGTGACGGTGCTGGCAAGGGAAGGGGTGAGAAGGGGATAGGTTCTGGATCTATGTTGAAGGTGAAGGTACCTGTCAGGTTGGCTGTAAGGGTTGTTGAGGAGCTTACTTTTGTCCTGTGGTCAGTTGTGTGATGGCGAAAAATGGTGGCCTATACAAAACTTATGTCATAACCAGGATTCTGGGAGATGGGGCAGAGGAGGGTTGTGACTGATGTTGGTCTTTACCCTCCTCCCCCTTCCCCACTACAGCCCCGGAAAGCCAGCGCTACTTGCAGTTCTGCCACAGCAGCAGCCTCCAGTGGCCTGGAGGAGTGGACCAGTCGGTCACCGCGGCAACGGAGCTCAGCCTCATCACCCGAGCACCCTGAGCTGCACGCTGAGCTGGGCATCAAGCCCCCTTCCCCAGGCACTGTCTTAGCTCTTGCCAAACCTCCTTCGCCCTGTGCACCAGGTCAGTGACTTGCTGACAAAGGGAGCATGCAGGGGTTAGGTGCTGTCTAGGTCCTGGGCCCTGCCTCTGAATGTCCCTCTGTCCCAGGTACAAGCAGCCAGTTCTCGACAGGGGCTGACCGGGCTGCTTCTCCCCTTGTGTCTCTCTACCCTGCTCTGGAGTGCCGGGCCCTCATTCAGCAGATGTCCCCCTCTGCCTTTGGTAAGCCATGTCTGTCTAGGGGTCAGGGACTGTCTGGAAGTTGGGGAGAGATGCAAGAAGCAGCAAGTCCTGAGATGGGGCTTCTAAAGCCTCTGGCCATCTCCCAAAGAAAAAGGAAATTTTCAGTTCCAAGGGATCTGTCCCAGAGGGTATCTGAGTAGGGTTTCATAGGCCTGGAGGAGCCCTCTCATTAGAAAAAGGAGTGAGAGGGGCCTGGATGGGATCTCTCTAGAGCCAAGGATCAGTAATGGGTGAGCAGAAGGCAGGCTGAGAGTGCTCCATCATCCTTTTTCCCTCCCTCTTTCCCTTGCTCGGCAGGTCTGAACGACTGGGATGATGATGAGATCCTAGCGTCAGTGCTGGCAGTTTCCCAACAGGAATACCTAGACAGTATGAAGAAAAACAAAGTACACAGAGACCCACCCCCAGACAAGAGTTGATGGCGACCCAGAGACTGGAGACCATCTCCTAACCCCCACCACTCCTGCCCTCCAGTGCCACCCCACCTTCTTTGGCTTTCTTCCCTCTTGCCTTCTTCCTTCCCTCTCCCCTCCTTTCCCTCTTCCCCACTTCCCTCTGGCTGGCCCACTCCTGCACCCCCTCTCATCGTTGCCACCATCACCTGCCTCTTTGCCAGCTGATGTGCCCTGTTGCCCCCTGCACAGCACCATCCCTGCATTCCACAGGGGACTTGGGCAAGGCTGCCGAAGGTAGGCGAGAGACACACAGACAACCCAACTGGCAGCCAGGCAGCCCCCAAGGAGAGACATTCAGACAGAGGAAAGTCTCCTTGCCCCCAATTCCTTCCAAGGTCAGAAAAACTTGTCAACCCACTTCCACAATGATACCAGGGAGGTGGGAGGAAGAAGTGGGAATTCCCTTACCCAGTACCCCAAGAATGTCTGAGCCTTCAATGTTGAATTTTTTCTTTATTAAAATGTACTTTTATCTTATAAAATCAACCTATCAAGAACTCTGTAGACAATAGCATTGGCTCTATGAAGGCGGCATATCTCTGGTTTGGGGGCAGGCAGGCCGTGGGCACAGAGGGGGCGCAAAAGAGAGGTTGCTGTCTCTGGCCTCCATCGCTGTTGAGGTGGGCAGGGACTAGAGGGGGGTGGGGTGGGGAGGGCAGGTGTCACGTGGGCTTTGGACAATGAGACTCTGACCTCGCTGCATTCCTTTTGTTTCTGCCACCACCACAGTCTCTTTGGAATCTTAGGGTGGGGATCACCTTTGAGGATCATGGCTGCTGCCCAGGATTTGAGCGTGGGGGGTGGGAGCAGCCTCAGCAGATGGGGCACCCGTGCCCTGCAGGTGTTGACAAGATCCACTATCTGTAATGTCCTTGGCACAATAAAACCAAATGTCAGTTTCCCCTGAGCGCCTCTGTTCTGTGTGGGGCAGGGGTGGTTGGGCCCGTGGGCAGAGACTATAATGGCACAGGCCTTGGCTGGATCTTGGAGGGGCTGCATGCTGTCCAGTAGTGTCTGTCTGGTGACCCAGAGTTTGTTCATATTTGATGCACTGCTGACTAAACCACCTTCTGGACCAAGAAAGCTCTGTCTTTGTTGCCCCTGCGTCAGTGCTGGCACATGGAGCTTGTCCGCTCTATTGCCTAGGGAGCAGAGGACCAAGCTTGAGGGCAAGGACTGCACTTTCAAGTTCTCTGCCTGACTGCTGCCGCATAAATGTTGGCTCTTGTGATCGTCTGATGAGGAAATGCTTTGGAAAGGCACAATGGATGCTTCGTAGTAATATGAGGTTAGTGGCAGTGACAAGAGGGGCCTCCCCTGCTGGGTTTTGGAAGCTGAGGAATGACTGAACCCTTTTTTGTTGTTCATGTCCCCCAGTCTTCTGATATCGCTCTTCCTGCCTTTCCTTGGGGTAAAGCCAAGGCTGAGAAGGGTGGCTAGCTCCCAGGTTTTGCCAGGTTGTCTTTTTGGCTGTGCCTCAATAATGCAACCCCTGTGGGAAGAGGCATGTCCAGCTCTGCAGGTGAGGGAGTAGTTAGTTGTGGGGTGTCTCTGTGGAATCCACTGGTCAAGCATGTGTATGTTGGAGAGTTGGTTTGAAACCTTCCTCATCTTTTTCTAGTAGAGTGGCCTTGGTCAAATCTGAGTTTCAAGTGTCCCACAATGTGTATGTCAGAGGTGATTAATATCTGCTACCTCACACTCTGGTTGTGAGCACTGAGAGAATAATGCATGTGGTCGACTCATGTATGACAGCACAGTACTTGACAGACATTCTGAGAGCTCAAATGTTAGCACATTTTTTTGTTCTAATGTTGAAGTTTCTGCACCATCTGTCCCCTGCCTACCTTTTCTTTGATGCTTTGTGTAATTTCCTTGGCCTCTGCCTAGAATTTGCCAACCTTGTCTTTAAAGATTTGTGACTGAGGGTGTTTTACCATTTCTCCAGAGCTTTCTCAGTCCCTGTCTAATCCGGGAGCACACCCATAAGCCACCACCACTCAAGTCTTGCTTCCGACCCTCCGAAACCACCCTGCTGTTTCCGATTCTAGACCTGCTGATTGTGCTCAGGGCCACATCTAGCCAGGTCTGTCTTAGGGCTCCAAATACACTCCACCGGCCCCCAGGCATGGGAACGCTGCCTTTGACCAGCCTGTCCCCAGAAGTGGTGGTCATGGGGTTACCCGTCCCTGGTAGCTGACAGGTTCTTCCAGGGTCCCCGGCTTCAGTTTCAGGGTAGAGGCCACCAGTCGCCTAGAGGACTGTGATCTTGAGTGAGCAGCACCCTTCCAAGACAGGGTCCTGGATAGCCACTGGCCCGGATTCTTAGAAACTGGGCCTAGCATTATTCTCGCGCTAATCTCGAGGCAGCGGCAGCAAGCCACAATTTCCTGGGAAAGGAGGTGGTGCAGTAATTTTTTTAAGTTCATATCTATATATACACATACACACACATATATAAAAACAACCCCGTGCAACAACCAAAACAAATAAGATTGCTGCAAAGGGATTCCCAGAACCAGTTTCCTCTTCGCGCGCTACCCCCTTACTTGCATTCAGGCCCCGCCCCCGCAGAAAGATCCGGGCATGTATTTGCATAAGAAAGTACTTGAAACGTTGAGGGTGGTATGCAAATAAGGACCGGCTCCGATTGGCTGGGGTACAGCAGGTGCCGCGTCCGGATTGATCAAAGCCAAGTGGGCGGGGCTGTCGCCCGGGGCGACTCTCTCGGGAGGCGCGTGCCCCGGCTCAGTAGCGTTGGGGCTGGCGCGCGCGGCGAATCTCAGCGTTGCGCCGTTTGCTGGCGCTTCTGGGCCACCAGTTTCCCAGCCTTCCACCCTGGCGCCCCCGAGTCCTGGCTCCCCAGCCTCGCTGCTCCGGGCGTCCACGCCCTGCGGGCTCAGCGGGCTCAATCTGCGCAGCACCTCCTCCATGTTGACGAAGCCTCTGCAGGGACTCCCCATGGCCCCCGTGACCCCCACGCCGCCTCCAGGTGAGCGAGGCTCTCCTGTTGCGACCAGACCGGGTGGGGTGAAATGATTGAGGGGGGTGTGGGGGGAGGGGGGAGAGGGTCGCAGCCGGGCTCAGCATGCCGCCACCCTGACTTCCTCGCCTCCGCCTGCGTAGGAGGAAAGGATCGGGAAGCGTTCGAGGCCGAGTACCGACTCGGCCCCCTCCTGGGTAAGGGGGGCTTTGGTACCGTCTTCGCAGGACATCGCGTCACAGACCGACTGCAGGTATCCAACACGAGGGAATGGGGGAGGGCCAGGTGTGTGTGTTTGGTGGGGCGGGAGTCTTGGGGCTGGGATGCTGATTAACCGGGGGATGGGGGGAGGGATGAGCCTACCATGTGTGAGGGGTAGGGTCATGAGGACCAGGATCCGGATTGGTGAGGGTGGCTGAGCGCGCGCAAGCGTGTGTGGCGGCCCAGGTGGGGATGGGGGGGATGGGGGGTTTTCAGGGCAGGAATTCTAGTGATCCAGGGAGTGAGACTGGGGAGTGGAGGTCATGAGGACTCTAGGCCCTGGGGTCCAGGAGATGTATGTGTGGAAAGGTGGGGACCTGGAGCTGGGATTTTGGAGGCAGGTCACCAGGGTGGAGTTGTAAGGACCAGGACCCCGGGACAGAGATAGGGTGTCCTGGAGCTGGATGGGAAGCTCGAGGGCATGGGGGTGTTAGGAAATTCACAACTCAGGACCTGGAGTGGGGTGTTCTGAAGCCTGAGGAGAGCGCAGGGCTACGGATAGTGGGAGAGGTGAACTTGGTTCTGGGGACTTGGAGGGCAGGGGAGAAGCCCCAGCTCATTTTGGGTTGTGGTGTGGTGTTCTTGGGACCAGAAAGACTAGGATGAGGGTCAAACTGGGAGGGGTCTGGAGGTCGTCTGCCGAACCCCTCACCTCAAACCTCTTCTCCAGGTGGCTATTAAAGTGATCCCCCGGAATCGTGTGCTGGGCTGGTCCCCCTTGGTGAGTATCTTTGGAGCCATTCCTGACCCGCCGACGCCATCTCTGACGAGGGACTCACCCCCTTGCCCTTCTGCAGCTTTTAAGACTGCATGGGCTCTGTCTCGGTGAGGAGAACACTCCCACCAGCCCATGTTTACTCCCCAGGGGTGACATCCACACCTCCATGCAGTTCTGACTCACCCCAGTTCCCCTAGAGCCCCGGATTCTCCCCCCCCAACCCTCCTTTCTCAGCCTCCCTCGAAACACTGCTTCAGGGGCTGCCCGCAGGGCATGCTAGAGGGGAAAGAGGGGCAGAGGTCACCGGTTGCCATGGTGACGGTGGCTGCTGCTTCTCTGCCGTTAGCGCGCTAACGGACAACTGGGCGGGTCTGGGCGAGTTGTAGGCGTGGGAGCGCCCCCTGGCGGACGCTGGGGAGACTGCGCCTGCGCAGGCTGTGGGGCCCAGAGGTAGAAGCTGCGTTTGCGCAGTAGCGGAATTTTCATCGCCGTGAGAAAACTTGTCTGCGGCTGTGCAAGTCCGTGGACTGGCCGGGGTAGAGAGCCCCACTTAAGGCAAAAAGGCTGCTTCTGGTAGTCCTTGTGCCCGTGCAGGGTTTCTACAGTGAGGCAGCATTTGTGGCCAGTAACATTTATGTCTGTTATTGAGTGCCAACTGTATGCCTCAGGTTTTGCTTCATTATAAGAGCTTAGTGTATTCCAAGTCCCAGGACTTTCATTAAACACAGTACTAGGTGCTTGGTGACAGTGACAAAATATTGTATGATAACATTGAATTCTTACTTTGTGCCAGCTCCTTTTCTTTTTTAACTGACAAGAAGTACTTAACTGTTTTCCTATATTGCTTTATTGCAATTCCCATCCCCCATTTTTTAAATTAAAGTGTCGTTAACATACAATTTTATGTTGGTGTCAAATGTACATCACAGTTTGTGCCAGATCCTTTGCAATTAATGACTGCTAGCTATTTAACAAAGGTATATTGAGCACCTTCTATGTGCCAAGCACAAAACTAGGCAACTGGCAAAATACTGCATTTATTGAGAGCTTGTGCTAAGGTCCTTTTCTCCTAATTGCTTTCACCTGTTTAACAAATGTAGCCTTACTCTGTTACCAGGCACTGTTCTAGAGCTTGAGCAATGTCAGTGAACAAAGCAGACAAGCCATTATACAATAGTAGTATTTATTGAGTGCTAACTGTGTGCCAGACACTATGCTATAAAGTGTTTTCATCCATTTAACAAAACATGTATTGAGCACCTACTGTGTGTATAGTTCTAATCTTTTTGGAGATCTCAGTGAACAAAACAGATAAAATCCTACATAGTAGTGTTTATCAGTTGCTGCTTCTGCTGAAGGCCTTTTGTTAAGAACCACTTCTATTTATCCTTTAAATATTTACTGAGCTCCTATTACATGGCAGATGTGCATAGGCTTTTGGCTCGAATCACCTTCCCAATGGCTGTGTGAGTTTGAGCCCTTAAGATGAGAAAACTGAGGCAAGGGAGGGAAGTGGGTTGCTCAAGGGCCAACCAGTAAGGGGGCTGATAGGGGTATGATTTAAGTCCAGGCAAGTCAGCCTCAGATCTGATGGCCTGACGTCTGTGTTCTCTTTTCTCTGCCTGCTTCTCCCCACAGTCTGACTCAGTCACATGCCCACTGGAAGTTGCTCTGCTATGGAAGGTGGGTGCAGGTGGTGGACACCCTGGTGTGATCCGCCTGCTTGACTGGTTTGAGACACCAGAGGGCTTCATGCTGGTCCTCGAGAGGCCTTTGCCTGCCCAGGATCTCTTTGATTACATCTCAGAGCAGGGCCCATTGGGTGAAGGCCGAAGCCGCTGCCTCTTTGCCCAGGTAGTGGCAGCTGTTCGACACTGCCATGCCCGTGGAGTTGTCCATCGTGACATCAAGGATGAGAACATCCTGATGGATCTCCGCCGTGGCTGTACCAAACTCATTGATTTTGGTTCTGGTGCCCTGCTTCATGATGAACCCTACACTGACTTTGATGGTAAGGCTTCCCTAAAACTCAGTGGCGGTATTTCTTAAATTTTATCTTTATGGCCTCTTGACCTTTGATTTTTATTTTTAATATTGGGCATTCTCAAGGCTTGCCCTCTGATAAAGTTCATCTTCTGTCAGTGCCCTGACCTTGTTCTGTGCTCTAACTCTGGTGAGGGGTCCTGTTATTACCCTGAGTGTTCTTTTTCTGGTAAGGGGATCCTACTGTTACTTTTAAGTGCTTTTATGATGTTGAGGGACTCTGCTGTTATCTTAACTGCTCATTTTCTGGTGATGATCCCCTGCTGTTACATTTAAAGAGCTTCTATACTGGTGAGGGGACCCAGCTCATATGGTAAGTTCTTTTAGTCCTGGTGAGAGGACCATACTTCCTGGGGAGGATGGGGTGAGAGAAGGGCATTAACAGAGAGTGCTGTAAACTCTGGCTTGCATGCAGGTACAAGGGTGTATAGCCCTCCGGAGTGGATCTCTCGTCACCAGTACCATGCACTCCCAGCCACTGTCTGGTCACTGGGTATCCTCCTCTATGACATGGTGTGTGGGGACATTCCCTTTGAGAGGGACCAGGAGATTCTGGAGGCTGAGCTCCACTTCCCTGCCCATGTCTCTCCAGGTAAGGTCCTCACTGGCCCTAGCCTAGTGGACTCCATGCCTCCCAGAGACTTGTGCCCCCAAATGACTGCTAATTTCCTGTGTACTTCTGATCTGCAGACTGCTGTGCCCTAATCCGTCGGTGCCTGGCCCCCAAACCCTCTGCCCGACCCTCACTGGAGGAGATCCTGCTGGACCCCTGGATGCAGACACCAGCTGAGGATGTACCCCTGAATGCCCCTAAAGGGGGTCCCACCCCTTTGGCCTGGTCCCTGATGCCCTAATCCTGACCAGGCCCCCACTAGTTGGAATAGCCATCCCATGGCCATACCATAGGGATAGGTGGACATCTGTTGACCTGGTTTTACAGGTTATTAAAAATCCAGTGTTACTAGGGTCAGAGATTGGGGGTCAGGGATCCAAAGACATAAGCTAAGTCTATCCAGTCCCCATCCCAATCCTGAGAAGGAGCCTTCCTCCTGGAATTATGGTCTCTTATTCTGGAGGGAGGACTTCTCATTTTGCTAAGGATTTTATTTAGTTGATGTTACTTCCATTCTGAGCCCCAGGACTCTTATTCTGATGAGTTGTAACCCCTACACTGGCACCTCCTGCTACCACCACACAAACTTAGTTCAAATGCTCTGACTTGGGCAAGGGTGCTTTCCTTCCAATACCCCAGCAGCTCTTATTTTAGCAAAGGGACCCTTTCCCCTAGCCTAGGATCCCATGTTCAGTCAAGCTGCTCACCTACCTCAGCCCAGGGTTGCTTATTCTGGGGGAGGTAATGCCCTTTGTCATCCCAGGGCCCTTTTTTATCCTTTTCTTTTTTCTTTATTTTGGTGAGGGGACCCTACTCTGTTATCCCAAGTGCTCTTATTCTGGTGAGGAGAACCCTACTTCCATGATTTGGGAAGGAATGGGAGATGGACACTACCAGAGTCCACTAGGATGGGGTGGATGGTTTTTTTGGGACTGGGGTGGGGGAAATAAGTCTTGTTTTGTTCTCCTGGGCACCCCTGCTCCACCTTTCTTGGATTCTTGCTGCCTCCTTGTGAGCCAAGATTGTCCACTTGCTGAAATGTAAATACTTAGGTATTAGGGGAGAGGAACTCCCAACTGTGTTCTCTCCCTTCTCCCCTTGCCTGGATTATTTAAAAAGCCATGTGTGGAAACCCACTATTTAATAAATGTAATAGACTCAGAAGTAACTGGCCAGTTGTAGATGCAGCAAGGCATTTGTGGAGCCTGCTTGAGCCAAGAGGGAAGTGGACTGGATTTCTCCTCTGCCCTTTGGAAGCCTCAGTGTTGTGGTGCCATCCTAAAGATCTTTATGGGATCATTTAAGCAGGACCACAAAGAAAAACTTTGTTACCGCCGCCTTCCCCCAATTCTTATGTAGTGACCCTTATCTGCAGAAGGGCTCTGTTGGAGATACTGTATACACTGAAGATGTTTGGGACATACACTCAAAGATGGCTAGCTCAGGGGGCAGGAAAAAACCCTTTCCCCAGCCCCAGGGGCGGAAATAAATCCCTTCCCCATGGGAGAAGAAAACCTTTCAGGGCACTGGTGAGGGCGGGGCCAGGGTTGAGGGCTGACAGGTATCTTCCCAGCCCTCTCTTTGTCTCCTAATGGTGTACATCACCTATTTTGCCCTTCACCTCTACTTTGCCTTCTTACCTGCTGCTTTCTCCTGGTTTCACTTGACCCAACCTCAGTAGTACCCTCTCTTGCCCTGCTTTCAAAAGCTAACCTGTAAGCCAAGGCCTTACCTGCTGACTTAACCTCTCCCCTTCCCACTTCTTTTATATCCTCAGTAGTGACTGACTTGGCCTCCCTTCTCAGTCTCAGTTCTAATGTGCCTTTGTATATCCTTAACTGCTCTGCTTTTAGCTGCTAGCTTACCTACCTATCCCTCACCGGCTTCACTTCCTCAAAAGTCGCATTTCCTTCCCCGGCGCCCACAAGCTCTCAAGGAGGCGGGTCCTAGGTGGGGCTTCAGTCCAACCAGGAAGGACATAGGTGTTCTGATGCGGAAAGGGCGGTGCCATCTAAAGAAAGTGCCAGTAAAGGTCCGCTGTAGAGAGGCAGCTGAACCAATGAGACCAGTAAGGATGGGCGGGTAATAAGGAAAGCGGGATCAATGAAGAGGAGGGCGAGAGGCGATGGCGCGTCCGATCTGCTGACCCCAACGGAATTTGAGAATCAGGAGGCTGCTGTCTTAGATTGGCTGTTCAGAAGCGGACGAAGCAAGCCACTGCTTTGGCTAGGCCTTCGCTCTCCCCGACCAGAGGCCCGGAAGTAGAAGTGACGGATTCGGAAGTGGCCTGCTGTTGCCGAGGGGACGGGCCGGGCAGATGCCAACATGGCAGCGGTTGGGTCTGGCGGTTCCACTGCGGCGGCTGGGCCTGGGGCGGTCTCCCCGGGAGCACTGGAGCCTGGGACCGCAAGTGCGGGTGAGATACGCTGTGGCCAGGCAGTAGGCAACGGGGCAGAGGTCGGGATCACTGTGGGGTCAGGAAGCGTCCTCACTGAAGCGGGAGGGAGCATCCCGAATGGGCAGACGTGTGTATGTCTGTCTGTGTGCTGGGCGGAGGGTGGGGGAACGGAATGGACCATCCTGAGTGTGTTGGGGCGGGGAATAGACCATTCTGGGTATGATCTGGTGGGGGGGGCATTCCGCATATGGAAAGTAGAGACAGTTCTGAGTCTGGGAGGTTATTTCCTTTTGGGGAGGGTAAGACCACTAAGACCGTTCCGAATGCGTGTGGCTTCCGTCCTTGTAGAAGAGAGACCATTCTGAGGGTGGGAGAGTTCTTCCTTACCGAAGGAAGAGGCTACTTTGAGGATATGGTGTCTTCCTTATGAAAGGATGGGGGCTGTTGTGAGTTAGGGTGGGGTGGGTCCTTCCTTACATGATTTAGTCCATTTTGAGGTTGGGGATGTCCTTCATTATACGGGGAAAATACGTTCTGGGGGGGGTTCCTGCCTAATAAAGGTACAGTTAATCGTAATTTGGAGTAGGAGGGTCCTGCCTCTATGGTGGAGAAAGGCCATTCTGAGGGTGCCAGGCCCTTCCTTACAGCGGGGAGAGTACATTATGAATGTGAGTAAAACAAGGAATAATTCCTTGGCTGGAGGTATGGGGAACGCAGTGGTGGGAGGAGGACTGGACCATGTGGAGTATAGGGAAATATTTCCATATACCCTTGAGGGAACCAGACCATTCTTGGTGCATTAACCATTCATTGTGGGGGGTTCATTGGGCACAGTGCGGGAATCATTTCTTATATTTGTTAGACCATTCTGGGTCAGGAGGAATCAGTCGTTAAAAGGAGGAAGGGATTGGAGAGAGACCATTCTGAGTGTGAGGGAATGGAATAATTCCTTAGATGGGAGAAAGACTTCCTTGGTGGACATACATCAGTGGCCTCATTCCCTTATTGGGGTATCATTCTTTACATTGGACAGCCCCTTATTAAACAGAAGCATCATTTCATGTAAATCTTCAGTTTGCTCATCCATAAAATGGGAATCCTTATCATTTCTTCAGAGATCAGAGAGATAGAAGGGTCTGTCGAAGTAATCCACGTACAGTTGACCCTTAATGCCGGGGTTAGGGGCATTGACCCTCATGTGCAATCGAAAATCTGCAAATAACTTTGACTGCCCTAAAACTTAGCTACTAATAGCCTTCTGTTGACCAGAAGCCTTACTGATAACATAAACAGTCAATCAACACATATTTTGCATGTTTTATGAATTATATACGGTATTACAATAAAGTAAGCTAGAGAAAATAAAATATTTTTTCAAGTTGTCACAAATCTCTAAAAAATTTTCCAGTATATTTATTGAAAAAAATCAGCATATAAGTGGACCTTTGCAGTTCAAACCCAAGTTGTTCAAGGGGTGACTGTAAATCCCTTAGTCCAGTGATAAACTCTCAATAAGCACATGTTAAGCACTCAATAAATGTTGAGAATGTAGTTGGTATTCAGTCCTGGGGAGCATGCTTCTCAGGAGGCAAAGAGTGGGTGTTTCAGGCCTGTACCGGCCATCTCCTGACACCTCAGCAAGGATTCCAAGTATGGGCTGGGCAGGGTAGGGCCCACTTCTCCCTTTCTGGCTCTCTACTGTCTATAGCTGAGGCAGGAAACAGGTGGAAGTCAGACCCTCATTGGTCAGGATAGGCAGGTCAAGGGAGGAAGTGGCAGGTGGCTAGAAGGATCCTGATTGAGAAAGGAGATGGGGGGGCATGTGGTGGCGTGGCTATGCCCCAGCAGCTTCTGACCCCTTCTTGCCCCTTGCTCCTTCCATTCCCCACAGCTCACCGGCGCCTCAAGTATATATCCCTAGCTGTGCTCGTGGTCCAGAATGCCTCCCTCATCCTCAGCATCCGCTACGCCCGCACGCTGCCTGGGGACCGCTTCTTTGCCACCACTGCTGTGGTCATGGCCGAAGTGCTCAAAGGGTTTACCTGCCTGATGCTGCTCTTCGCACAGAAGAGGGGTATGAGCGGGAGGGGGCTGCACTGGGGTTGGCAGATGAGACTCTGTGTATGTGGGTATGCCCCATGCCCACATGGAGGGCTTCCTGGAGGAGGATTTTTGCATGGTGAAACTGCCTGGGGAGTGCGTAAGTGCAGCTAGGCTGCTTGTCCCTCCAGCTCTGAGTAGCTGCACCCACATTTTTATACCCCTAGCCCCCATGAGCTGGCCTGTGTGGACTGGAGGGGTAAGGTAGTCTAATGCTCATCAGGTAGCAGGTGACCCTTACATGATTTATTTATTTTTCTTAACTTTCATCGTGGATCATTTCAAACACACAGAATTGGTGAGAATAATGAAGCAAGAAAATATGATGTACTCACCACCCAGATTCAGTGATTATCAACTCATGACCACTGTGCCATTAAGCAACATCAGTGATTACCCACTCACTGCCAGTCCATGTATCTGCCTGTGTACTGCCTGCCTCATTATGTTGGAGTATGTCCCACAGGAAGTAATTATGATTTTGAAGTAAATCCTGCCTTATTGTCTTGAATAAGTATTTTGATACATTTAAAAACAATAACTGCAATATCTAAAAATAATACATAAAAAAATTAATGATTTTTAAAGTTAATAAAATAATCAAATATCCAATGTTCAAATTTATAATGCTTTCTCAAGTGTCATACAAATTTTTAAAAATTTGCCTGAATTGGGTTTATGTAAAGTCAGTGTTTTGAAATTGGTTATTTTCTAGGTCAACCTCCAGGTTCCTGTTGAACTCTTTTTTTCTGAAGTTAATTTGTTGAAGAAATCAGGTCATTTGTCATATAAACTGGTTAACCTGGATTTTGCTAACTACCTCCCTATGGTACCATTTAACATATTCTTCTGTCCTGTATCCTGTAAGGTGGCTTTATCTACTAATGTAAACACCTCCCTGAAGGCGTCTTCCTTAAGCATTCAGTTCTCTATAAACGCCTTGCACATTTAAAGGATAAAGATGGATTATCCAGCTCTGTCCTTGATATTTAAATTGACAAAAACATTCTAGCCCACTCATTAGCTCCAGGGCCCTGGGAGGCAGCAATTTAGAAAACTACCTCCTCTGTTCTTGACTGATGCTGAGACACTTCGGAGTGTACACTGTGGCAGGCCGTGCTCTGGCCATGGAGGTGGATGTGTTAGCAATGCAGACATGTGTCTTGCTCTCATAGGGCTGATAGTTTAGACAGGGAGACATAGCTACAGACTCAATCACAGGCCTTCACCCCTTGTCTACAATTTCAAAAGGCCCCTCGCCCCCAGGAATTTTTTTCCTTGAATTAGTCTGGTGCCAAAACTTGGCCTGACCTGATGTGGGGCTATTTGTGTACTTGTGATTCTTATTTTTCTTGTTTGTTATGAGTATTTACAAAAGTCACTGCAGAAATGTGAATGTCCTTGATTGTGGTGTGCACCCTCGATTGTGGGGTGTGTTGTGTGAAATATATGGTATATATACTATATTACCTTTCTAACCCCTGGACATTTTTGAACACCCAGGGAATTTGGGTAAGGGTTAGAGATCAGTAATTACTACTGGAATTAATGCCATGAAGGACAAGGACAGGGTTTTGTGAATGAGCATCAGCAGGAGTTCCTCCAATAACCTCTGCAGTGGTTGTGAGTTTTCCCTAAGGAGTGACACTCAGATGAGACCTAACAGATAAACTGCAAAAAAGTGGGGTGAGTTTTGCAAAGGCCTTATTATGTAAGAAAGTATTCTCATGTATTGGTTGGAGCAGGTCCCAACCAGACTTCCTGCTTAATCGTCAAGCCTATTCTTCCATGTGCAGGGGCAACTGCTTGGTGTGTGCAGGGCCTATGGCAGAGTCAGAGATGGCCTCTGCCCTTTGGCAGCTCCCAGGACAGTAAGGAGCTGGGATAAGTCTAAACCTTCCCCTGTGTTTGGTAAACAGCTTTCCATCCACAGCCCTAAGGCTTCTCTCCTTTACAGGCTCCTAGTTAATGCTGATTATTTCATTATACAGTCATGTATTGAGTGCTTGCCCTGAATGAGACTCTATGCAAGGGAGGTAGGCTGCAAGAGTGAAATATGGTCTGTGATCCTCAGTCACAATGTTAAGGATGAAAGGTCTACTGGAGATGTGCTTGTACTGTAGGGAAATTGGGAGCACAGATTCTAGCCCTCGGAGTCAGAGTGTGGTGGGGAGACACAGGGACAGGCCTGGTCCTGGCCCTTAGGGGATCCCCATCTTTGATAGTCGGTGCTAAAAAGGGCTCTCCTGCCCCCACCTAGGTAATGTGAAACACCTGGTTCTCTTCCTTCACGAGGCTGTCCTGGTGCAGTATATGGACACACTCAAGCTTGCAGTGCCCTCTCTCATCTATACTTTGCAGAATAACCTCCAGTATGTTGCCATTTCCAACCTGCCAGCTGCCACTTTCCAGGTGAGCCCCAAGCCCAGCACGGCCCTGGAGGAATTGGCTGGGGTGGGGATTGTAGGATGTTGGCAGGGGAGGGCTGCAGAGAGCAGGAGCTGTGTCACCTTCAAAATGTCCTTGGGTCTCCCTCAACCTCAGTTTCCTCATCTGTGAGAATTGGGAATGGAAATGGTAATGCCTACTCCCAGGGCTGCTGGGATGACTAAAATAAAGAGTACCTGGGAAGAGCCCTTGGTTAGTGATAGATAAGCTTTATGCTCTTCAGGCAGCCTTGTGAAATGGTTAAAGGGCCCGGATTCAAATCTCTGCTCTGCTGCCTTCCAGCTGTGTGATCTTGGGCAAGTGACTTGCCCTCTCTGTGCCTTAGTTTTCTCATCTTTAAATTGGACATTACAATAGTATATACTTCCTACATGAGGATTAAATGAACAAATCCACCTGGAGGGCTTAGGCCCATACCTGGCACACAATAAGCAGTGTGTGTTTGCTGATGTTACTGAGGGTGATTTCATTTGTATCCATGTGTTTATCAAGCCCTCTCTCATCACAAAGCCTCCTATTCATTCATTCATTACTTAAATTGGGAGAGGTGTTTCATGTATATCAGCTGTATCTTACAGATGATGGTGATGGGGCAAGTGCCATGTTCCTTGTCACACAGCCAGAAAATGGGCTGGGATGTGGACTTGGGTATGGCTTGAGACTTCCTTGCATAGCTGTCCTCCTGTATACTTTGTGGGAGGCACGTCAGAGCGATTTAGGTTCATCTCAGTAGCCAGTGGCTGAATATTTTTGCTGTTTTTATTGCCATCTACCTCATCCTGTTCCTCCATTGTGCCTAGGGGCCTATGTGGGTGTTGTACCCCATGTACAGGGGTTGGGGGTTGGGACAGCCCTCAGTGCCTTCCACATGCCCCTCACAGGTGACATACCAGCTGAAGATACTGACCACAGCACTGTTCTCTGTGCTCATGCTGAACCGCAGCCTTTCCCGGCTGCAGTGGGCCTCCCTGCTGCTGCTCTTCACTGGTGTCGCCATTGTTCAGGCACAGCAAGCCGGTGGTGGGGCCTCACGGCCGCTGGATCAGAACCCTGGAGTGGGCCTAGCAGCTGTCGTGGCCTCCTGTCTCTCCTCGGGCTTTGCAGGTGTCTACTTCGAGAAGATCCTTAAAGGCAGCTCAGGCTCAGTTTGGCTGCGCAACCTGCAGCTGGGCCTCTTCGGCACTGCCCTTGGCCTGCTGGGGCTCTGGTGGGCTGAGGGCACTGCTGTGGCCCACCGCGGCTTCTTTTTTGGATACACACCTGCTGTCTGGGGTGTGGTACTCAACCAGGCCTTCGGTGGGCTACTCGTGGCTGTTGTCGTCAAGTATGCCGACAACATCCTCAAGGGCTTTGCCACCTCCCTGTCCATTGTGCTGTCCACTGTCGCCTCCATCCGCCTTTTTGGCTTCCATGTGGACCCGCTGTTTGCCCTTGGCGCTGGGCTGGTCATCGGTGCCGTCTACCTCTACAGCCTGCCCCGAGCTGCAGCCAAAGCTGGAGCACCCTCCGCTCCCTGCCCTCACCAGCAGCCTCCTGGACAGCCGCCACCCCCACAGCTGGCTGCCCGCCGTGGAGACCTCAGCACAGAGCCCTTCCTGCCAAAGTCAGTGCTGGTGAAGTGAGGGCTGGTGGTGGGGGGCAGGGGGCAGAAAGGGAGGGAGCCTGGGTGGAGAGTGTTGGCATCTGCAGGACCTAGGTTGCCACTAAGGCCTGGCTCCCCTGGGGTTGTTAGAGTCTCTTCTTCCAGGCCATGGAGACTCTTGGAGGGGCATGGGACCAGGTGAGGTGTCATGTGAACCCTTCCTTGTAGGCTGACCTACAAGGGAGCTTTTAGAGTTGCCTCCTCTGTTGCAGTCTAACCCCTTTGGGGACTCTGTTGGGGGTATTGTCATTTAAGGCTTTTTTTGTCTGCCCCACCTTGGCTGGAGGTGTCCTTTCATGCCTGGGAGATTCCCTCCCAACAATCCTTCTACCTTTGTAAAGACAAACTAGACAAAAATCCTGCAGCTCTTTAGTAATGCCATGTCTACCTGTGGGGTGATTTCCCTCCCATAGCTGAGGTGTTCTATCCTCCACCACCACACTGGATCATGTCAGCAGCTGGGTTTTTTGTGGCCTTGGGGCAGCTTCCCTGGCATGGAAACCCTTGGGAAAACGGGTCTTTTCCCAGGGAGAGAGAAAGGGGTGAGAGCCAAGATTTTTGCATCAGCCTGTTTTGGGGGAGGGTGTAGTAGGGGTCATTATTTTTTTAGTGGTGTGGGGATTTGTGGTGTAATCAGATAATTAATGATCTAGGGTTTGGGAAAAGTAGGGAGGGGAGGTCTTCAAGTGGCTGAATCTCATTGAATCCAGGACACTGTTGGTTGCCAGATGCAGGGATTTTTTCTGAGACATACTGAGAGGACAAATAAAGCTGCCAACCATACCCACTTTTGATCTCCACTGGCTGTATGAGGCACCCTTATTCCTGATAGGGGTGGGGGTGTCTTTAAAAATTGCTAAAATGTGGAACCTACTCCATGCACTCCCCAAAGCTTATTAACCCCTTAACTGTTTCCCAGGATATGTGTGTGTGTGTGTGTGTGTGTGTGTGCGCGCGCGCATGCTTGTGGGTGTGCATATACATTTGCATATGGGCTGTCTTTGCCATATGTAAATAGGGCCCTTGGATCTTTATTTTTGATTAATTTGTTCTGATTTTTTTGGTTTGTTTTCTAAGGAACTGTAATGAACAAATGTCAGGATACCCATGCTAAATAAAGGTGTTGTATTTATTTAGTCCCTGTGTAGCTTTCTGACCCAAGGAACCTGCTCTGTCCGCGTGGGCTGCTACTAACCCCAGGACTACCAGCCTCACTGCTGTTGCCCTTGCTTGCTCAGGACACCTGCCTGCCAGCTTTCTGTGATTTTCTTTCCTCCCCATTCCCACCACAGGTTGCTCACCAAGGTGAAGGGTTCGTAGCTGCTGGGATCGAAGATGCTGGCCTGGTCTCATTCTCCCTTTTTGCCCTGGCCCAGCCAGGACCAAACTGATCAGAAATAGGGGTGGAGGGAGGTAGACATGGAACACTGTCCCCAACCCCCATTCCCATGCAGGGCTGATGCAACTGGACTGGCTCTGGCAATGAGAGCATGGACAGGACCCCTGCCACCTCCAGCCTGTGCAGCCCCCATGTCCCTGTCTCCCCACCCCCCGTTTTCTTAGGTGAGTTTTGCTAATAAAATATTTTGCATCTTTGCTGGTTTGGGTTGGGAAGCTTCAAAAGTGTGAGGGAAGGAAGCACTCAGGCGTCATGGGCATGATCCACCAAAAAGCTTTTATTAAGAACCCCAGGGTGGTGGTGGTGTGGGAAGGGCTCAGTCCTGCTGCTTGGTTCGGGAGGCCTCGGCATTTGCCCGGAGCACGGCCCCTGGGGATGGGTAGGGGCGCTGCTGGAAGAGGGGCCCAGCTGCTGTCGTGTCTGCACCCGTTTTGGCCTCATTCCGCTTGGGGAGTCCTGTTGACCATGTGCCCCTGGGGGTGACAGAGTCAGGTGAGATTGTGGGAAGTGGTAGGCAACCCCTCTCCATGAGTGACGAATGGGGGAAGGAGATAGTAAGGAAGAAAGAAGTCAGGTGCAGTGAGTCCTAAAGAAAGAGAAGGGCTCGCAAGGGGAGGTCACTAACCGAGGTGCGTCTGAGTATGAGCTGGGGTCCATAGGGTCTAACTCTTCATCCTTCCGGCTTGCCACTGTGGAAGGAGGTGGCAGAGTGAAGTCTTCAATGGAGGCACAAGGAGCCCCTGATCACTGAACTCCCCCATCCCAGGAAGAAATGAAGCCCATGGCTGTCAGGGCCCTTGCTGCCATGCCTCATCTCAGTCCTGGTCCTGCTCAGCTTACCCTTCTTGCTCTTGGGGTAGGGAGCCAGTTCCTCTCGGCGATGGTGGCGCCGTTCTTTGCTCTCTTCCCTGTCTGCCTTGTCATACCCACGGTCACGGTCACGGTCACGGTCCCTGTCCCGCTCTCTCTCTCTGTCCACCTTGTCATAGCCACGCTCTCGGTCTCTGTCAGACTTGTCGTGGCCCCGATCTGACTTGTCGTGGCCCCGGTCTGACTTCTCGTGGCCCCGGTCTGACTTCTCATGGCTCCGGTCCAACTTCTCCTCAGCATCTGGGGACACAAAAGCCTTGCAGTGACCTTCTTCCTTCCATCTCAGGACCCAACAGACTTTCAACGACCTCCCTTGCCTGGGGCTGGGCCTGCCTGTCTCACCTGCCCCTCAACCCATTATCATTTACCTGACCCCTCTCAGAACTGCTAAACGCACCTGAGGCATCCCTTAGACCTGCCAACTCACCTGCATTATTGCTCCTGAGCTTCTTGGCAGATTTGGTAACGACGGAGTTGGAGTCATGTGGGGAGAGCCAGGACACGAGGTCTGTGTCCACATTCCAATAGTAAGGGAGCCCGCTACAGGGCAGGGGAAGGGAAGTGGAAGGAGGGAAGGAGCATAAGCACAAATGTCCTTTCCTTGTAGCCACAACTCCTTTCTCCCCAGTCTCTGGCTACACCTGTCCCATGTCAGGACCCCACAGGGGTGACCCCCATATCTCTTACCTTGTCCCCCCCATTTATCCCAAGGCCAGGGACAACACAGGAAGGGTGAAGTCAGAGGTCAGCTCCCCCCAACCCCACCAGGTTCCCCAGGCTCACCAGGAAGGATCGAACACCTTGTACCAGCTTGGTGGGAGGCCCTCCAACCGGGTAGCCTCATAGTCTACAGGATCATCGTCATAGTCCTCAGCAATGATCTCTTCCTCTGGTTCTGGAAGGACAGGAGAGGAGGACAGCATTTTAGGACCAGGGGGATTCTCATCCTACAGGCAGGACTGGAGAGATACTCACAATCACACGGACCACATCCAAACACTGGTCTGAATCCACTCAGTTCCTGAGGCCTACCTAACACATAAAGGCCTGCCACAGTTGTCAGTAGAATAAAAAAGGTGTATATTATCAGCTCAAGATGTGGCCTTTAGCAGGCCTATCCAAGATTTCAGTTGTGGATATAACAATGAGATGTATGTGTCAGCAACAGCATAATGCCTGTCACACAGTAAGTCCAAAGGTGAGACACCAAGTCTCACCTGCAGTGGCAAATACTGCTTGCATTCCAAATCTGAGTACCTCAGTATTGGGATTTACCAAAAATTTATCTAAATCTGTTCTGTTTCTGGGTTCAGATAAAATTCTATATACTGTTAGGAACAATAAGTGCTGGTGAGGATGCGGAGAAAGGGGAACCCTCCTACACTCTTGGTGGGAATGTAAACTAGTTCAACTATTATGGAAAGCAATACGGAGGTTCCTCAAAAAACTAAAAATAGAAATATCATTTGACCCGGGAATTCCACTCCTAGGAATTTACACAAAGAAAAAAACTCAGATTCAAAAAGACATATGCACCCCTATGTTTATCGCAGCACGATTCACAATAGCCAAGATATGGAAGCAACCTAAGTGTCCATCAGTAGATGAATGGATAAAGATGTAGTACATACACACAATAGAATACTATTCAGCCATAAGAAGAAAACAAATCCTACCGTTTGCAACAACATGGATGGAGCTAGAGGGTATTATGCTCAGTGAAATAAGTCAGGTGAAGAAAAACAAATACCAAATGATCTCCTTCATTTGTGGAGTATAACAATGAAGCAAAACTGAAGAAACAAAACAGCAGCAGACTCAAAGAACCCAAGACAGGACTAGCAGTTACCAAAGGGGAGTGGTGGGGGAGGGTGGGTGGGGTTGGAGGGAGAAGGGGATTGAGCGGTATTATGATTAGTACACATGGTGGGGGGATCATGGGGAAGACAGTGTAGCACAGAGTAGACAAGTAGTGACTCTGTGGTATCTTACTACGCTGATGGACAGTGACTGCAATGGGGTATGGGGGGGACTCGATATGGGTGAATGTAGTAACCTTTGTGAAACCTTTGTAAGAATGTATTAAGGCATCAATGATACCTTAAGAAAAAAAAAGAAAAAATATATACTGTTACATGAACCTATCCGGTTTCAGAGTTTAGACAGATATTCACCATACAAATGTATCCATATATATTAAGTTCCTGAGTTTAGGTAGTATGTGCCACTATGCTGTCCAAATATGTGTAGCTTCTAAGCTTGGCAAATATGGAATTTCTGACATATATTGAATAGCAAGAGGTTAGATAGCAAAGGATTTATCCAAACACTGGTCTGAATCCACTCAGTTCCTGAGGCCTAACACATAAAGGCTTGCCACAGTTGCCAGTAGAATAAAAAAGGTGTATATTATGAGCTCAAGATGTGGCCCTTAGCAGGCCTATCCAAGATTTCAGTTGTGGATATAACAATGAGATGTATGTGTCAGCAACAGCATAATGCCTGTTACACAGTAAGTCCAAAGTAGATGTCATCTGTAATCATCAGTATTGTTTTAATTTTTTTTTGTATCATTAATATACAATTTCATGAGCAACATTATGGTTACTAGACTCCCTCCATTATCAAGTCCCCACCACATACCCCATTACAGTCACTGTCCATCAGCATAGTAAGATGCTATAGAATCACTACTTGTCTTTGTGTTGTACTGCCTTCCCTGTGCACCCTCCACATTAATTTTTTTTATTAAGGTATCATTGATATGCAATCTTATAAAGGTTTCACATGAGCAACACTGTGGTTACTACATTCACCCATATTATCAAGTCCTTCCCACATACCCCACTGCAGTCACTATCCACCAACATAGTAAGATGTTAGAGTCACTACTAGTCTTCTCTGTGCTCTACTGCCTTCGCCATGCCCCCTTACATTATGCGTGCTGATCGTAATACCCCTTAATTCCCTTCTCCTTCTATCCCCAGCCACCCTCCCCAACCCCTCCCTTTGGTAACCACTGGTCCCTTATTGGAGTCTGTGAGTCTGCTATTGTTTTGTTCCTTCAGTTTTGCTTTGTTGTAATACTCCACAAATGAGGGAAATCATTTGGTACTTGCCTTTCTCCGCCTGGCTTATGTCACTGAGCATAATACCCTCTAGCTCCACCCATGTTGTTGCAAATGGTAGTAATCACCAGTATTGTTAATAACACATATCATCAGCACAAGGCCTGGTACTCAACAGGCTTAAAATGAATACCTGTGATCATTATCAGTATTATTAACCACGAGATCAATAGCTGGCACAGAGTAAGCTTGTAATAAATATTACTTTTCAATAAGGTGAAAATAAGATGTATTTTCCAGTACCTGACACACTGTAGCACCAAACAGATGCCAGCTTTTACTATTATTAACAATAAGGTGTAAAAATTAGCAGCAACAGCACAATAGGCCTAAATGTTAGATCCTATCATTTTTAAATACTGAACCAGAATGTGTATGCCAGGGACTTAGTAAGCCCAAAATACATGTCAGCTATTGATACGGCGAACAAGGTATATATCACCAGCACAGTGCCTTGAACTACAGTAGTTCTCAAATAACATTATCAGTACGGTAAAGAACAAAATATCAGCAGACTGCCACTGCACTTGGAGCACAGGACATTACCCTAGATGTCATGTCAGCTATCCTTATTATTAGATACTTTGTGACCATTTTCATGGATTGATTGATGGATTGAACCTGGCATACAGCAGGCCCAAAAAACAGCATTGGGTGTCAGTATTATGGATGCAATGTCTATATCCCACCCCACCTCCACCCCCCTAACTTGGCACCACAGTAGGAATTGGTGTCAGGAATCCATATTGTTAACAATGAACTGCCTGCCACCCCACTGCTTGGTGCACAGTAGGCCCATGTTCGGTTATCAAATGGGAGTATCAACAACAAAGTGCTTGTTAAAGCCGGCATATGGTAAGGCCCATCCGCTCTTACTCTCACCGGGCTCCAAATGTTTGAGGATGCCTCTCTTGGCCAAGCGGGTCTGCAGTGCAACAGGCAGCGGCATAGCGGGTAGCAGACAGACCTAGGGATGGATGGGCAGATCAAAAACCGGTTTGGATGAGGATCTGAATCCGGATTCTGTTACCAGCGCCTCCCCACAGCATGTACTCATCTGGAACCCCCATTTACCCACCTACACCAGAAGCTGGGTGGACGAAACCTATGCTTGAGAAGGTTGAAGTGATACGTAGAAATACACTAGAACGTTCACTAACCCTCCTCTCGCGGCACAGTGCTCCACGACCCAGTGCCTTTTCCAGGCCCAGGCTCCGCCCACCGCCGAAAGGGCCAAACGCGGCTCCCCCAGGCCCCATAAATGGGCTCACCCAACGTCCCTCAAAGAGTGCCGGGTGGGAGGAACCAAAGCACTGGGAAGGAGGAGCAGAATGTTGCACCGTCCCCCAGCTCCAAAAAATGCACCCATCCCAACGTTACCAAATAGTCACACGGGTAGTGGAAGGCTATCGCACCGGCCTCCTCTCTCTCTCGTCGCCACTAAGATCAGCAGGACCATATGCCTCTTTTCTCCTAAAGCGCAGTATGAAGTTCCTCTCTCCCCGAGCCTTGACGTAACTGGGCAAAGCTCAGCAACGAGGTGGACGCAAACCTGATGGCCAATGACAGTGCGCCCTTGGCCTGACGGGCGGCAAAGAAAGCTCGGGCGCCTGTGTGCGTTTACGGAGGGGGCGTGGCCAGGCTGGCGTTTAGTCAGACTGCGCGGCCGGACGCCGGCGCCATGGAGGAGTATGCTCGGGAGCCTTGGTACGGCGATGGGCACAGGCCTCGGAACTGTCGCTGTGGCGCCACGGCCAGCTGTGGGAGGCGGGCGGGGGAGGCACCGGCCACACAGCGCCATGTCCCAGACTCGGGGGACTTTAGACATTTGTTGTTTCCTTCCGCTCTCCACTTGGTTCTCCCCTCGGGCTCCGTTAAGAGGGGCCACTATGTGTGTCTGGAAGTATGGCGCAGGACGAACCACTCCACGTTTCCCCTGATTACGTATCTCTCAGCCCCGCTCTTTGTTAACGAAAAGAGATACAGCGGTTGAATCCATTCCAGCCGGGGGGTGGTGCGTAGTGAGCGGAAATCCCCAGGATCACCACGCGTGGTTTTTCCGAGGTAGCTTTCGTTAATGGAGCCGGGGCCTGGGTGAGCCTATTGCGGACAGGCTGGATCTTCCCCACCGTCTGCTCTTGGTTTTTCCCAGTTGTGCTAGGTTAGAAAAAGGGGGAGAGAGTGGGGCTTGATTTGGGTGAGAAGAAGAGGGTGCGATCCCGTCATGCAATAATAATATTAGCTAGTTAACACTTCCGTAACGCTTATTCAAACGTGCCAACTCTTTGCGTGTATCAATTCATTTAATCTTGATGGTAGTAAAGCAGTTGGCTTTATCTTTGGTTGGCTGTGAAGGGGAGGGGTGGACAGGACAAAGACTAATACTTTTTTCCCTTTGCACTATTTCTTGCTTAAATGAGGGGGGAAATAATCCCATTATTATCTGAAGTGCTAATTCCCATTCGGATGATTTGGTTTCTCCCAGTTGGAAAGAGTTCACTTGAGAAGGCACGGGGTGGGGGGTGCTCACTTTAACCCCAATCCTCCCTTTCTGGCTTGCAGCCCATGGCGAATTGTGGATGACTGTGGTGGAGCCTTCACTATGGGTGTCATCGGTGGTGGAGTCTTCCAGGCCATCAAGGGCTTCCGCAATGCTCCTGTTGTGAGTCTTGGCCTTCCCAGGGAGGTGCAGTTGTCCCGCCCCTGCCTCCAGGATACTGCCCTGAAAACTCCTTGGACCTGCCAGTCACATGCACAGGCATTCTGGTGCCTGATCGCCTACTATGTGTCAGGCCTGGCTTCAGGATCTCGGGTTTTGGGGGAACTGCAAATACAGCTTGTCGTCACCCCCCCACTGCACCCATCTGGAGGTCCTTTGTGGAATTTCTGTGCTATCAAAATGGCCATCACCAAATCCTAAGTGTATGTGAGGACCAGAGAGATTTTACCTAGAGGCATATTCTGGGTTAGAAACCTAGACAGAGGGAAGTGACAGGAGTTTAATTGGCAGTTTAAGTGATAGCCTTAAAGTTGAGAAAATGCTTTTAATTCAACATAATCACTTCTCTTTTTTTGACACCCCTCTTCCCAACCCCCAGAGATCTCGTCAAATGTCATGGCTTTAAATGCCATCCATTTGCCTGCCCAGGTCTCTGCAGTGTATACATCTAGCCCTTTTCTCTCCCCTCAACTCCTGGAACTCTGCTGAAGTTTCCCCTCCTCATCCTCAAGGTCTCAGCATAAATGCCCCCCCTTTAGAGGCCTTTCCTGATCTCTCAGCCACTACCATACCCCTTCGTCCCATTTCCTCTAGGGTGTGTATTGCTGTCTGAAACCTTCTTCTTTATGTGTACCCTTACTCAGGATCTTTCCCACTATAATGTGAGCCCTGAAAGGGCAGGGGCCAGATCTACCTTGTTTACTGCTTTATCCCTGCATACAGCATGGTGCCTGGCACATAGGGGCTTACTAATCATTGAATGAATGAATGAGTGAATAAATGCATGGAAACTTCCCAACCTGGCTCTGAGAGCACCCGTGTTGGGGTGCCTCCCAGCCTCCTAGTTCTTGGCCACTTCACATCTCGACCCCTGAAACCCTTGACAGATCTCCCATCCCCTTCCCAGTCTTAAAAGCTAGAAACTCAGTATGCCAGTGGCCTTAACACTACTCTGACTCCCCTTCTCTGATTTCCCCAGGGAATTCGGCACCGATTTAGAGGTAGTGTCAGTGCTGTGAGGATCCGAGCCCCCCAGATTGGAGGTGAGAGGTTTGGAGAGACAAAGGAGATATGATGGCAACATTGGAGGTGGTTGCTTCTTTGGGTTTAGAATGTAATTTGGGGTCCAGATTCCAGCCATGACTTTGCCTGGGACTTCCTGTGGGCAGTGGTGTTTCCCAACAATTTAATACAAAGGGGCAAGAATGTGAGTTCTGTAGTTTAAGCCCTGGATCTTCCCTGATGTGTGATTTGGGACTAGTGGCTTAATCTCTATGAACTTCATCTGTAACACAGCTTGTTGATAACAGTTACCATCTCACTCATGTTGTAATTTGTAATTTACATAGTACTTACTAACTGCTGGTTGCTCTTCTACACACTTTAATAATACTAATTTAAAATTTCAGAAGTCAACATACGGTGCCTAGAACAGGTCCTGGCACACAGTAAGGCTTCAGGAGACAGTTTATTGTATTGTTAACTGGCTTTTCTAACATGTTTTCTTCTCCCTGAAACCAAGATCAGCATTCTAACTCTATGTGATGCTAATGAAGATCAAAGTGGCTCTATAAAAAGCTATGTAGATAAATATTTGCAAGATAAATCTGCTTGTAAAACACTTGTCAACCCCCATGAAAGGGAAGGGAGATGGCGATGACAGACAGCTTGAAGAAGGAGCTACCAAAGGGACAGATGGGGAATATCACCTAGGAGTTTGCCATCTGCCTTTGCATCTGGGTTTTTCTCCCTGTTCTACGCCAAAGCATTCAGGCCTTGAAAGTCCCTAGACCCTGAGCCATGGATTCTGGGGATTCCCTAGGAACACTAATTAGGCCTTGGTCCCCCTGCAGGTAGCTTCGCGGTGTGGGGGGGCCTATTCTCCACCATCGACTGCAGCCTGGTGCAGCTGCGGGGAAAGGAAGATCCCTGGAACTCCATCACTAGTGGAGCATTGACCGGGGCTGTGCTGGCTGCCCGCAGTGAGTAGTCTGTCCCCTGGCCCCAGGCTCTTCCATCCTGTTCTGCCTGCCCTCACCTCTCTCCCTGCCTTCTCATTCCCCCAGGTGGCCCACTGGCCATGGCGGGTTCAGCAATGATGGGAGGCATTCTCTTGGCCCTCATCGAGGGTGTTGGCATCCTTCTGACTCGTTACACGGCCCAGCAGTTCCACAGTGGTAAGAACCTGGTGGATGCTGGTCAGGGAGAGGTAGGAAATGCCCTGCCTAGCCTCCACTCACCTTTACCTGATTCTTCCCTCTCCAGCATCCCCATTCCTGGAGGACCCCAGCCAGCTGCCTCCTAAGGAGGGTACCCCAGCCCCAGGCTATCCCAGCCATCAGCAGTACCACTGAGGAAGTGTCTGCCTATCATTGCCATCGTGGGACCTCTTCTCAGTTCCCTCCCCGATGACCTACCTCGAAGGGAGGGCTGGCTCCCAATTGGCCCTGGGACCATCTAGAAAGGGCCTCTACTCTGTTCCCTTGTCCTAGGGTGGGGGTGGGGCACCCAAGCTGCCCTGATGGATGGGTCCCCTCCTCTTTCAGGGCACCCCAACCCCATACTCACTTGTAACAAGCTCTCACCCCAGCCTCCTCGCATGGCACCTTGATGAGTATTTAAAGCCCATTTTGAAATGCCTATGTATGTAGTCGTTGAGCCACCCATGGGAGCTCCTTCTTAGGACAAGGGGCAGAGCCCTCTTCAGGGACTCAGAAGCCCTAGGATTTGGAGTCCCACAGAGAGTGGGCTGTAGTAAATGTTTGTGGGAATAGTGAGCAGGAGGGGGAATTAAGCAAGATAGAATAGGTACATGAATAAGGGTGCATGTGGGTCTAGTGATTAATCATAAGGAGACATAGGAACAGGCTTGGTAAAGAACCAAGTGAACACAAGGATTGCTGGAGTGGAAGGAATGGTTGTGCACATTGCGCCCCTGATCCCTTACACCCATGCACCCATTGCCAAGACTCGGAAACCTGACTTCACAATGGACTGTCTTCCTGGATACCAGTCACCCCAATTGTGAAGATAATCCTGTTCCATGTGGCCACACCATACACCTAGGATGGAGGTAGGGGTCAGGAAGACCCAGTTTCTTTGAAGAAGGTGCCCTGTGTTAATCTTCCCTACACTACAGTGATACTTTTGCTGCGTGATGCTCAGTATATATATATATATTTTTTTTAACTACCACAAAATAACCAGATATGAATTTTCATTCTGGGTTGGGCAGTTATGGGAAAGATTTTTCTGGATGGATGTGGGCCCCAAATGCTGTCTCTTACATTCAAACCTCTACATGTGTGGGGCAAATAACGTCTACTGGGGTACAAATATTCTAGTGCAAATGGCCTCTGGGAGGCATAAAAACTCCTACGCAAGCCATTGCAAAGAGGTGGAAATGCCCCTCTTACACAAAATCACATATGGGGGCTGCAAAGGCTGAGTCCCAGGTCCTCCCAAGGCCCAAAGCAGGAACCTGGTGGTCAGTGGTATCAGAACTGCAACACTGCCTGCTTTTGACTGACTGTCATGTACTGCGCGGCCACCCAACTGCTGGCCCAAGAGAGGGCAGGGGGGCGGGGGGCGGTAATGGACACTGTGCACACAGCTCTCTTCGTTCTCCAGCAGGGCCCCGGCTTCGAACTTGGGGCTCCAAAGGCATGGATGCAGTTGGAACACGCACCCCTTCTCCGGACCCGGGCACCAGTCAGACCCAGGCTATTCCAGGCTACAACCCTTGTGTTCTGAGTCCGCTTTCTTTGGTTCCGCCCCTTCGTCACCTCCAGGGTCCACCCTGCTACTATCAAACACAACCTGCCTAGCTCATCTGAGCCTTTCACTTGCTGCGAGTCGTCAGGCTCCACCCGCCTCGGGCTACAGTGGTTCCCAGATCCCTGTGTCTCCAGGTCCCACCACTTCCTATCTTTAAGTCCCGCCTTCTAAGGGTCCTCCAGGCCCTGTCTCCTTTGTAGGTCGGATGGGGCTCCTCTGAAGCCCCATCCATACTGTATCTCCCTCGTCGCTTTCAGATGGGTTCAGCCCCTACAGACCTCTTAGATCTGCGGGTCTCCCACCTTCAGCAACCTCTAGGCCTTACCTCTTATTGTTTTCAGGCCCCGCCCCCTCAGGTATCTCCAGACACCCGAGCGCCCCACCCTTCTCTCCCGGTCCGGGTCCCCGTTCGCCGTTTCCGGTCCTGGAAGACAGCTGGACCCGGGAGACTCGGGAACTCTTTGGGGGGACCTTCAGGGCCTTCCGCTCTGGCTCCTCCAGCCTCTGGGCGGGGCGGGGCTCCGGGTGGAGAGGGGCGTGACCAGTACCGGGTTTAGTAGCGGAGGACTGGGATTTGGGTGAGGGTTGCGGGGCGAATAGGTGGCGGCGACTGGGACATGGTGACTGGCATTCGCTGCTTCACCTGGCTCCTGGTTGGGGCTGCTTGTCCAAGACCCCTGAGCTGGGGTCGCGGCGTGGAGGGAGCCTTCGGGTCTTCGGGTCCCGCCCCCTGACCTGTCCGCGGGCGTCCTTTTCTTCCCAAAAGAAAGGAATGCGAGGTCACACCAGGAGTGGTTTCCACGGGATGTCCCTCAGAGACGGAGAGAAGGCGGGAGACAGAAGCAGAGATGGAGAAAGATGAGAAATAGAATCAGAGACAAGACATAAACAGGGAAAGACATTAATGGAGATGTAGAAAGACAGAGGTGGAGGCAGAGAGACTCATGTAAGAGATAAATGATTCAACGCATCCCAATCAAAATACCTACAGCATTCTTCAATGAACTAGTTCTAAAATTCATATGGAATGACAAAAGGCCCCAAATAGCCAACGCAATCCTGAAAAGGAAGAATAAAGCAGGGGGAATTATGCTCCCTGATGTCAAGCTCTACTACCAAGCCATAGTAATCAAGACAATTTGATACTGGCACAAGAACAGACCCATAGACCAGTGGAACAGAATAGAGAGTCCAGATATAAACTCAAGCAAATATGGTCCATTAATATATGATAAAGGAACCATGGATATACAATGGGGAAATGACAGCCTCTTCAACAGATGGTGTTAGCAAAACTGGACAGCTACATGTAAGAGAATGAAACTGGATCATTGTCTAACCCTGCACACAAAAGTAAACTCAAAATGGATCAAAAACCTGAATATAAGTCATGAAACCATAAAACTCTTAGAAAAAAATATAGGCAAAAATCTCTTGGGCATAAACATGAGCAACATTTTCATGAACATATCTCCCTGGGGCAAGGGAAACAAAAGCAAAAATGAACACGTGGGACTATATCAAACTGAAAAGCTTCTGTACAGCAAAAGATACCATCAGTAGAATAAAAAGACATCCTATAGTATGGGATAATATGTTCATAAGTGACGTAACTGATAAGGGGTTGACATCCAAATTATATAAAGAGCTCACATACCTCAACAAACAAAAAGCAAATAAGCCAATTAAAAAATGGGCAGAGGAGCTGAGCAGACAATTCTCCAAAGAAATTCAGATGGCCAACAGGCACATGAAAAGATGCTCCACATTGCTAATCATCAGAGAAATGCAAATTAAAACCACAATGAGATATCACCTCACACCGGTTAGGATGGCCAACATCCAAAAGACAAACAACAACAAATGTTGGCGAGGTTGTGGAGAAAGGGGAACCCTCCTACCCTGCTGGTGGGAATGTAAATTAGTTCAACCATTGTGGAAAGCAGTATGGAGGTTCCTCAAAAAGCTCAAAATAGAAATACCATTTGACCCAGGAATTCCACTCCTAGGAATTTACCCTAAGAATGCAGCAGCCCAGTCTAAAAAGACATATGCACCCCTATGTTTATCACAGCACTATTTACAATAGCCAAGAAATGGAAGCAACCTGTGTCCATCAGTAGATGAATGGATAAAGAAGATGTGGTACATATACACAATGGAATATTATTCATCCATAAGAAGAAAACAAATCCTACCATTTGCAGCAACATAGATGGAGCTAGAGGGTATTATGCTCGGTGAAATAAGCCGGGCAGAGAAAGACAAGTAGCAAATGATTTCACTTATCTGTGGAGTATAACAACAAAGCAAAAACTGAAGGAACAAAACAGCAGCAGACTCACAGAACCCAAGAATGGACTATGGACTAACAGTTACCAAAGGGAAAGGGACTGGGGACGATGAGTGGGAAGGGAGGGATGAGGGGGAAAATGGAGTATTACTATTATCACACATAATATAGGGGGGGTCGTGGGAAAGGCAGTATATACAGAGAAGACAAGTAGTGATTCTATAGCATCTTACTATGCTGATGGACAGTGACTGTAATGGGGGATGTGAGGGGGCCTTGATAATGGGGGGAGTCTACTAACCATAATGTTGTTCAAGTAATTGTACATTAATGATTTCAAAATAAAAAAGAGATAAATGAAAAGAGACAAGGAAAAAGGACAGAGACAGCAAGAGAACAAGAAGCATCTGTGCCAGTTTTAGGAATGCAGTTAGGACCATGGGAAGACCCTCAGCATCAGATGAAGGCTAGCGCAGGAGGGCGGTGTAGAGCTGTGAGTGGGGTTGAGGGGCTGGACCGAGAGAGGGCTGTTAGGTCAGGCTTCCTGAAGCTTCCTGCCCACTTACCCTCTAACTGAGGGTCCTCAGAGATATGTCCCACCTGCATCCTTTCTCTCCCTCTCTGGCGGTCTCTCTCACTCTAATCTCTAACTTAACCTCATGTGCTCCCAACAAGGAATTGAGCAGCTCTGCCTCAGATTCTAACTTCCTCTTTTCTTCCACACTTCTCCTTGCCTTAGCCCTGACTCTGCCTCCATTTTTCTTGGTCTGTCTCTCAGCCCTCCTTCCCAATTTCTCTGCTTTGGTCTCCCTGGCTTGTAGCTCTTACACTCCTTGTGGCCCCTGGGTTCGCCATCCACCTCTCCACATGTTGGGGGGCAGGTTAGAGAGGTAGGCAGAATCAGGGAGGAACAAGGGAGTCCATCCCTGACAATGGAGTGGCGGAATCAGTTCCTCATGCAGAGATCCTGAGAGGCTGGGGAGAGAGACACAGGGAAATCAAAAACACACACAGAGAGAACAGAAAGGATAGGGAGAGAGACAGAGCAAGAAGCCAGAGTTGACAGAGACATCAAACAGGAGAGATGCAGAGAAAGAGATGTATCAAGAAAGAGAAAAAAACATAAGCAAAAATCTCTTGGACATAAACATGAGCAACTTCTTCATGAACATATCTCCCCGGGCAAGGGAAACAAAAGCAAAAATGAACAAGTGGGACTATATCAAGCTGAAAAGCTTCTGTACAGCAAAGGACACCATCAATAGAACGAAAAGGCATCCTACAGTATGGGAGAATATATTCATAAATGACAGATCTGATAAAGGCTTGACATCCAAAATATATAAAGAGCTCATGCACCTCAACAAACAAAAAGCAAATAATCCAATTAAAAAATGGGCAGAGGAACCCAAGAATGGACTAACAGTTACCAAAGGGAAAGGGACTGGGGAGAATGGGAGGGAAGGTAGGGATTAGGGGGGGTAAGAAGAAAGAGGGTATTACGATTAGCATATATAATGTGCGTGGGGGGAATGGGGAGGGCTGTGCAACACAGAAGACAAGTAGTGATTC